CGAAATAACTTTAAAACTCACTGTGCAAAAGAATCAAAAAAGAATCAAAAACCCGAAGAACTTTACTTAAGAGACAAATATGCCATTAACTACTACTATTACTGGACCGTGTGTAATTACTATATGCCAAAGACGGTCAACTAATTGGAGAAAGGTGACTGAGTTCGTTATTACCAAAGGTCAAGCTAATCACACTTTACCAAATTATGTCCATTTAGGCAATACAATATGCTTGAATTGTTATAATGGAATTGTAACAAGAAGTTCAGCTGAGTTCCAACAACATGCTCAAAGTAGTACAAAACAGCCTGAAACTGATGAAACCGAAAGTATTAACTATTTGTCCTTTTCTAAAGCAATAGAGGTGATAACAAATATTTTGTATATTCGTGAAAATAAAGAAATCAAACCAACATTATATTCATTTGATGAATTTCGGGCTATTATGGAAGGAGAGGATGCAAGGTTAAAGTTTTTTTTTGATGAATTGTACTTTTCTTCTAACCCACTATCAAAAAATAATGATTCACAGATGCGGGTGAAAAAGCAGCTTCTATTTATATGCTACTTTCTTTGTGGAGTTCGAAATAAGTTTGTTAATAATGCTAAAAGGGATTTGGCAATGTATTTAGATTCGACCGGTGCTTCCAATACTTCAATAGATACTCTTGCAAATTTAGGTGTAACTACTACATCTCGTACAATCACACGACATAAGACTTCCGCATCTGAGGAGCATGCAAAGATTATCGACTCTGAACTTGCCAAACATGCAGATGAAGCAATGGTATTGAATATTGATGACTATCACAGTATTCACACAAAACGAATGCCAAATACCACTACAACATCTACTGCTGCGCATTTGGCAACAATTTTAATAAATCCAATTATTGCACAGAATGCAATCCCGAAGTTGAATATACATAATCATAAATTGGTTGATGCTGAATTAATCAAAGTAAATTTGGAGAATAAGTTTATGGCGCTTTATGGTCTTTCACATAACCAACGTTGGGGATTTCGTATAATTGATGATAATACAAAGTTGGAAGAACTAACTATACATAGTTATGACATTAGATTAAAAGAAAAACGTAATGCCCGCTCTATGAAGGATGCTATTCTTGTAGATTTACAGGAAAATAATCTTCACTCTTTAGATGCCTATATCAAAGCCATTAATACCGTCACAAGTGTTCCGTCTATGCAACAATACATCCAAAAAGAGCATATTATTCCTATTGTTGCTGATTGGCCTGGTCAAATTTATCTCAGAACAGCAATATCACGTTATTTATGTTATCAAGACTCATCTAAAATTACTAATAACATTTTGTCTTTTCTTCCAATTATAGGCCCTT